TGTTATAAAATTAAACATATCAGTTATGATATGTAGATCGATAATTTATATGTTTAATTAAATATTAATTACACGATTTCTAACTTTTGGGACTTTTTTTATTGTTTTCAGATTTTAATAATGTACATATTCTTATAAATACGGCTCTTCTAAATTCATTCTCATCTACAAATTTACAAAAACATTTTCCATTCGTCTTTACCCAAATTCTACTTGCATTACTGTAAAAAAACGGCCATCGACACTGAAATCTCGAATAATATATTAGAGCAAGCTCCTTGCTTGCGGAAATTTGTGATTTGACAATGCATTTATCCTGAAAATTTAATTTAGAAAATCACATTTTTCTCATTGTCGTGCACATGTACAATAAACTAAATTTAGCGTTATTATATTCTCTGTATTTTTTACATTTATATTGCACAAGTTAAAATCTAAATGTATGTTTGTCATCAAATCCTATGATCTTATGTCCAATGATGACTAACATGATATATCTGATGATAAAAATAAAAATAAACCAACTTTGAACAAAAACTAAGATAGATAGCCTATTCATAAACAATTAATAAAAAACAAACAAACCAATTTTGTGTCGAACCTGAAACATTTTTTTTAATAATTACAAATTTTTAAGCACATGTTTTTATGGATACTTTTTTATTTTTAATTACCTAACATATAAGTTAGTAACACGATTTTGTTTTCCTGTAAAGAATTTCAATTTGAAGGGAAATATAAAATTATATATTTTTTTTAATTAGCTCTATTTTTTATGTTTAAAAAAATTAAAAATTATATTGTTTCCATCTATAGGGACTCTTTTAAACGGTTTTATATTCTAGATATCCAAATAAAATTAGAGTTATAATTTCACATAACCTCTGTTTGTTGTAAACAAATCCAATTTATATGAAATTCTAAAATTAAATATACTTTGTAATCAACTATGATTTTTATAACCATTTTTATGTTTAATTAAATTTAATATTATATTGTTTCCAAGTTTTGGGATTCTTTTTTTCAGTTTTGGCGTGTTTTTTTTTTTTTTTTTT